TCTTCGAGCCGTCCGGAAGATTCCTCATCAGTTGACTGGGCGGTGGAAACCGCTTCAGAAGCCGTGTCCGGCTCTTCCTCCGTCGCTGCAGTTGGTTCATCATCCTCGACGGGTGCATCAAGAAATTTGAACGCCACCGAGCTGCGATCGAGCTGTTCGCGACCGTTGGGTGTGTAGTGCATCTCGAAGGAAATCTGAGATCCGGCGGGAATGTATCGTCCGCCGCTGACCACAGCCTCGTTGGCCTCCTGCTCTCCGCCTTCAGACTCGACCGAATGAATACCCGGCACGTACCCGGTTAGCCGAAGCACGCGTCCCGACCGCAGGGCCTCGTCGAAGTCGCCGGCGGGCGCGATCAGAATGTCCATATGGTGAATCACCGACAGGTTGTCGGGCCGGCATTCCACCTCGACCCATTTACCTTCGCTAAATTCCAAGTCGCGCAGAAAGTATCGAAATTCCGGAGCACCAGTCGCTGGAACCACCACAGGATTATCATCGATGTGCATCACCACGTCGGGGTTCTTGATCTGCCAGCCATCGCGAAACTTTTTCGCTGGGGGCAAATCGGCCGGGTCGCCCTGCGGGGCCCCATGGCGAATCCATTCGTTGAGAAGTTCCGTTTCTTCCTTACTAAGGCTGGGGTTGTTGCTGAACTCGCCATACTCCGGGCTGGCATGCCAAGGGGGCATGCGTCCCTCGGCCACCACCTCCGCGATCATCGGTTCCCAGCCGTGAACGTCGTCGTACGTTAACAGCGAGAAAGGCGCGATCTGCCCGGGGCGATGACAAGCCTGGCAGTGCTTCTGAAAGATGGGGGCGATGTGCTTCGACCAGGTCACACGGCTCTCTGGGTCGCTTTCCTGTATGCGTCCGATGTGGCAGCCCCAGGCTTCGGTCTGGGGTTGAGAAACTTCTTGCCCTTCGAGCAGCTCCTGAATCGCAAGCTCCAGGTCGGGGCGCACCGCAGCCAAGCGCTGATATCCAATGCCTTGCTTCACGCCGAACTCATCGTCGATTCTTCCCCAATAGCGGACGTGTCGTTCTGGGTCGAGCACGAATACCTCGGGGGTACGCTCGGCCATGAACTGGTCGGCGACTCGGTTTCCGGGATCCTTCAGCAAGGGAAACGTAAGACCGTGCGACTCAGCAAACTCGTGCAGCTCGACAAGTGAGTCCTGTTGGTTGGCGTCGATTCCTATGAACGCCACCTGTTCCTTGTACTTCTCGGCGAGCCCGATCAGTCGCGGCACATATTGCTGCACCAACGGGCAATCGACCCCCAGGAAGACCACGACAACCAACTTACGATCGGCGAAATCATTCAGCCGATGCGGCTGACCATACAGATCGTTGAGGGTGAAATCTTCGATATGCCTTCCCAGGCGTTCGTCCAGCGAAACTTGGGCGACTAATACTTCGCGAGATGCATCTTGGGGAACTGCGACCAGAACTTCGTCGCCAGAGAAAGGCCACGCCAAGAAGAGACCGGTGCCAATAGCAATCAGCACTACGCCGAAGACGACCGTGGCAATCAGAGCTGTGCGGCGCATAGGGCCGATCTCGCATACCAATCGTCCGGCGCTGCGGCATCCAACGTCTACAGCAAAACGTTGTTGCTTGGGACTTCGCCCAATCCGCATACGCCGACGACTCGAGGCCCGTCGCGATCCTCGGCATTACCACCTACTATGCCCAGTATCTCCGGTCAGAGCCCCCAAAAATCCGACCAGAATTTACCCCTACAAAAATAGGGTCAGCCGCCCGAGATGGCAACGAAATTTTTAACCAATTCGCCAATAATGAAGTGCGCAGAATCGACAGCCGAGTGCTGGTTCAATCGTGAGGCAGCTCGACAGATTCGGTTGATACTGGCGTGGACTAGTGTTGCCCGTTGGCCATGGTGCCGACGATCACGCAGGCGTTGTGCCCGCCGAAGCCGAAACTGTTGCTCAGCGCCGCACGAACCTTTCGCTCGCGGGGCTCATTCGGCGTGTAATCCAAGTCGCACTTGGGGTCGGGGGTTTCGTAATTGATCGTCGGCGGTACGACCTGATTCTTCACCGCCAGGGCAGTGGCCACGAGTTCGACCCCTCCGCTGGCCCCCAAGAGATGCCCCAGTTGGCTTTTGGTGCTGGAGATCGAAATATTGTAGGCATGATCGCCGAACACCGACTTAAGCGCCTGAGTTTCAGCTCCGTCGCCCAGCACCGTGCTGGTGCCGTGGGCGTTGATGTAGTCGATCGACTCGGGATCAATCTCGCCGTCGTCCAAGGCACGACGTACGCACTTAGCGGCTCCAATCCCTTGAGCGTCGGGCTGGGTGATGTGCCCCGCGTCCCCGGTGGCTCCATAGCCCAATACTTCGCAGTAGATCTTTGCCCCACGGGCTTTGGCGTGTTCGAGTTCTTCAAGCACCATCACACCGGCTCCTTCGCTCATGACGAAGCCGTTCCGGTCGGCGTCGAAGGGGCGGCTGGCCCGTTCCGGCGCTTCGCCCATGGTCGATAGCGCCCGCATCGAGGCAAACCCGCTAAGCCCCATCGGCGTGATGGGAGCTTCGCTGCCACCGGTGAGCATCACGTCGGCATCGTCGTATTGAATGGCTTTGAACGCGTCGCCAATCGCATTGGTTGCGCTGGCACATGCCGTGGCGATCGCCGTGTTGGGTCCGCGAAGCCCAAACCGAATCGAGACCTGACCGCTAGCGGCGTTAATCATCAGCTTCGGAATGGTGAAGGCCGAGATCTTGTCGGGGCCCTTCTCCAGGAGCCGCGTGTGTTGGGTTTCAATCTCGTGCAGACCGCCCACGCCCGAGCCGAGAATCACACCGCAGCGAAAGGGGTCTTCGCCCTCGAGATCGATTCCAGCATCTTCGACAGCATCGGTAGCAGCCACCAGGGCGAACTGCGCGAAGCGGTCTAAGCGGTTTGCTTCTTTAGGGGGCAAGTAGCCTTCGGTCGACCAGTCGTGGATCTCGCCAGCGAACTTCACTTTGAAGTCGGTCGTGTCGAACGCGCGGATGTCTTTGATTCCGCTCTCGCCCTTCAGCAGTCGATCCCACAGATCGTCAAGCTTGCAACTCAGTGAAGTAACCGCACCAAGGCCGGTAATTACGACTCGTCTGTTCATTGCAATTCATCCACTGCGGAGTCGAAGCGCACGATCGGCGCTCGCGCAAAAAATACGACAAGTCCTCTGGCAATCGAACCCGAGGGTTCGACGGAGGAGGTTTTCATCCCACGATTTGATTCGCTCTGACTACACCCCACAGCGCATAGCGGGGCGCAACGTTACGAAATTGGGCGAACGGCCCTGGATGTATGCAAGCACGCCTTTGGGCGTGGTGCTAGGATTGCGACTTCTCGATGTACTCGACCGCTTCGCCCACGGTCTGAATCTTTTCGGCAGCATCGTCCGGAATGTTGATGTCGAACTCTTCTTCGAGTTCCATCACCAACTCCACGGTGTCCAGCGAATCGGCACCCAAGTCGTTCACGAACGAGGTTTCCGGGGTCACCTGGTCTTTGCTCACGCCGAGTTGCTCGGCAACGATATCGATCACACGCTCTTTGACCGAGGCCACGTTTGTGTTCCTTCCAAATAGATAGGCTCAGGGTGCAGTCGCGTTGTGCGGTGCCCCCCCGTTTTGAATGCAAGCACGATGTCCGCGGTTTGGCGAACGATCGGCGACTAGTCAATCTTGGTGAGGTTGGTCAAGATATAGCGAGTTTTGCGGAGCGTGTCCATATCTCCATCTGGGAATCCTGACCGTTATCTGGACACTACTTAGGTCGCTTGGGCACCCCCTGGAGAAAACCTTTTCCAGATGGAGACCCGATCACTCCCCCTCCGTTGGCGATGCCCCCGGGAACGGGTGAGCTTCTCTACTGAGCTGGTTTGGTTTTGCCACCACGAATGGCCGTTAGGCGGTCATGCCTCCGTCGACCACCAGCACCTGGCCGGTGACATAGCTCGCATCGCGGCTCGCCAGGAACAGGGCACACGCGGCCACCTCTTCCGGCACCCCCAGCCGCTTGGCGGGAATGCGTTTCTTGGCCTCGTCGATGACCATATCGCCCAGGGCGGCCGACATATCGCTTTCGATGAACCCGGGGGCGATGGCGTTCACCGTCACGTTGCGGCTGGCCAGTTCTTTGGCCACGGTGCGCGTCATGCCGATCAGGGCCGCCTTCGAGGCCGAGTAGTTCGCCTGCCCGGGGTTCCCCATCAAACCCGCCACGCTGGCGATGTTGATGATTCGCCCGTAGCGAGCCCGCATCATCGGTCGGGTCACTGCCCGGGCGAACAGGAACGCTCCGCGGAGGTTCGTGTTGATCACCTCGTCCCACTCCTCATCCTGCATACGGGGGAAGAGCGTATCGCGGGTGATGCCGGCGTTGTTCACCAGAATCTGCAGCGAACCCCAATCCTTGGCGATCTTATCCACAATCGCGGTCACCTGCTCGCCGTCGGTCACGTTGCAGGCGAACGGTTCAGCCTGTCCGCCAGCCTCGCGGATGGCCGACACGGTTTCGGCCAGCTTGCTCTCGTCGCGAGCCATGCAGGCCACGCGAGCCCCAGCCGCAGCCAGACGCTGGGCAATCGCCCGTCCCAGCCCACGCGAAGCCCCAGTGACCAGGGCCACCTGATTTGAGAGATCGGCCGTCAATGGCGTTTGCGACTCATCGCTCATCAGCAATTTCCTCTAAACAACAGTTGTGTTTTTTGCAATCAATTGTCCCGGCCTTACACGTTCCGCCGGTTCTGGCTAGTCGCATCTTCGTAAGGGCGTGAACGCAACCAGGATGTTTCTGCTTATTCTCGTTTCCCTGGGTACCACCGGTTCTCGAACCGGTGCGGCACAGCCGCCAGAGGTCTCCGGGTGAAGTTTTAATCCACAAAGCTAATCTGAACTTCACCCGAACCCTCTTGTCGCCTATGGCGACCCAACTTCAAGAAGTTGCGCTACCCATCGCAGAGCAACCCTCCCCAGCCCATCAGCTCATCACCGACTGGCAAGTCGCCTTCCGATCAATCCGCCGCAGCAACCCACGCAACACCCGCCCGGGCCCCACTTCGTAAAACTGATCGAATCCCTCGCCCATCAGGTACCGCATCGAGTCTTCCCAGCGCACCGAGTGCACCACTTGTTTCACCAGAAGTTGGCGAATCTCTTCCGGGTCTTCATGCGGGCGGGCATCGACGTTCGAGATGACCGGGATCTTCGGCGAACTCATCTTCACGTCTTTCAACGCCGCTTCCAGTCGGGCCACCGCCGGGGTCATGATCGTCGTGTGAAACGCCCCGGCCACGGCCAAGGGAACCGCCTTCATGGCGCCATGTTTCTCGGCCAGTTCTGCCACCCGCTCACAAGCCGCGTTCGAACCGCTGACCACGATGTTGCCCGGGCAAAGCAGGTTCGCCACTTCCAGGATGTCATCCCCGCGGGCATGCTCGCAGAGCGTTTCGACCTGCACCTGTTCCAGCCCTAGCACGCTCACCATCCCGCTGGGCGTGGCGTCGGCGGCGTCCTGCATTGCTTCGCCGCGTAACTGCACGAGCCGCAGTCCCGATTCGAAATCGAACACGCCGGCGAAAACCATCGCGATGTATTCACCCAGGCTCAGGCCCGCGGCGGCTTCGCAGGACAGCACCACGTCGGGCGATTCGTCACGCAGCGATTCCAAGGCGGCCAGGCTGGTGACGAACAACGCCGGCTGGCTGCGAATGGTCGAGTCCAACTCCTCGGCGGGCCCTTCGAAACACAGCTTCGACAGCGAGTAGCCGAGGATCTCATCCGCGCGATCGTACAACTGCCGCGCGGCGGGAAGTCGCTCTGCCAACTCGCGACCCATGCCGACGAATTGAGCACCTTGTCCGGGAAATAAAAAGGCGATGCGACTCACGTAAGGACCTTTAACACATCGTTGTACTGAAAGAACTCGGACGCGACCGAGAGTGGCCTGAACGTGCCGAGTGGGGCCACTGCCCCCGCCGCCGACCACTGGTGTGCGGCGCGTTTTATCACATTTTTATCGCGGCTGCACCCCACGTGAGCCCGGCACCGAACCCCATGGTCAAAATTATATTCCCGGGCCGAACCCGCTTCTCGCGGCAGGCCTCGTCCAGGGCGATCGGGATGCTGGCCGCCGAGGTGTTCCCGTAACGGTCGATGTTCGAAAAACACTTCTCCCGCGGAAACTCCAGCCGCTTCATGGCCGCTTCGATAATCCGCGCGTTTACCTGGTGCGGCACGATCAGGGCCACATCCTCGGGCTTCAGGTTGCAGTCTTTCATCAAGTCGCGGGTCAGGTCGACAAACGCGTTGGTGGCGAACTTGAACACCCGTCGCCCCTCGACCTGGATGAAATGCTGCCGCAGGGCCACCGTATCGTGGGTCGAAGGGGTCCGCGTCCCGCCGGCGGGAATGCAGATGACTTGGGAGTGCTCACCGTCGGCATGCAGGTTGTAGTGCATCACGCCGCGGTCTTCGTCGGTGGCGGCCAGCACCACGGCCCCCGCTCCGTCGCCAAACAGAATGCACGTCTTGCGGTCGGTGTAGTCAACATAGCGAGTCAGTGTGTCGGCCCCAATCAGCAACACCCGGCGATGCATGCCGGTGGCGATCATCGACGAGGCAACACTCAGCCCATACACAAACCCCGCGCAGGCCGCCTGCAAGTCGAACGCCCCGGCGTTGACCGCGCCGATGTGGGCCTGCACGAGTGAGGCCGTCGAGGGCACAATTTGATCGGGCGTAACCGTGCAGACGATGATCAGGTCGAGATCCGACGGTTCGATGTTCGCGTCGGCGCAGGCACGCTGAGCGGCGACAGCCGCCATGTTGCTGGTGGCTTCGTCTTCAGCAGCGACGCGCCGCTCGCGGATTCCCGTCCGTTCGACGATCCACTGTTCGCTTGTATCGACCAACTGCTCGAGATCAGCATTCGACAAGATGCGCTTGGGCACATACGAGCCGGTGCCGATGATCGCAGCCCTCTGGTTCACCTGCATCCCTGAGCGAAGCCTTCCACGGGCCCCGGGTTACGGAGGTTCGTTCCCGGTCCGTTCGAGCGACGCGCCACCGACGCACGCCTGGTCTGGTGACGCCGTCATCTCGCGATGATCGTTGCCAGCAATAAAACACCGCCGCCGAGCACTGGTTCGTACCGCCCGCGAAGTTGCGTAAACGAGGGGATACGAACGAGACACACAAAGTTTACGGCACAGCGGACGGATCGTACCACAGTGATACGATGGCGACTAGGCGAGCATGCCCGGAAGATGTGCCCCAACAAGAACTAAGGGCCGTTCAGCGTTCGCGAGGCCCTGCAGGTGTGAAAAAGCGGCTCTGCAGAAGCAGCCGCCGACCACCCAATCGAACCGCTTGCAGGCGGTTATTCGTTCGATTCGACCACGGTGCGGCCCATGTAGTACCCACATTTGGGGCAGGCCACATGGGTCGGAATCGCCTCGCTGCACTGCGGGCAATAAGTCAATTGGCGGGGCTTGATCGCGTCGTGCGAACGACGGATGCCGGTGCGGTGGTTCGAGTGCTTGCGTTTTGGGACGGCCATGATTGCTACTCACATCTAACGATAAAGACGACGACCGCACGCACCCCAGGCGATGGTCGAGAATCCCTGATATTAGGAGGCTGCCCCCAGGACGTCAAGGAGGGTGGAGGACACCTGGTAGCCGCATTCGCCATGTTCGCCGCCTACTACAACTACTGCTGGCAGAACCGCAAGCCCGAAAACTCTGGCCAGTAGCGAGCGATGGCTGCTAGGATGGCCAAGCTGACCGGACACGTTTGGTCGTTTAATGAATTGCTCGAGGCGGTCCTGACTTAGGGTGTTGAGATGGGCGCTGACCACGAAGACTCTGACCGTCGGTCGATGCAGACATCCATCGCGGTCTATTCCGTCGTAGGTTGCGTAAGTCTTATTGTGCTGCTCATTCAACTAACAGCACAGGGCGGCCGGATAACCTATGTCACGGCAACCGCCATAAGCGGATTGATCGCAGTCATTCTTGAGATGACACGATTCGCTTACTACCGATATGTCCGGCGGTGACGACCCCCACACACTTTTAGGACACTACCGAAGTAGGGCTCTAAGGGGTAAATTCCAGCCGTAGGCTACCCCAACAAGCTCCGAATCGTCTTCCGGCCTGCTTCTAGGGCGGCGGCGAGTTGGGTGGCGTCTTTGCCGCCGGCTTGGGCCATGTCGGGGCGTCCGCCGCCGCGGCCGCCGACTAATTCGGCCGAAGGTTGGATCCACTCCACCGCACTCAGGGCCCCATCGCCCTTGGTCAGGTCGCGACTCACCCCGGCGACCAGCAGCACCTTGCCCCCGGCGGCCGAGCCCAGCATCACGGCCACGGGGCTGGCCTTCTGTCGCAGGTGATCGATGTACTGCCGCATGGCGGCCGGTTGGGCCCCGGGCACTTCGGTCACCACGACCTTGGTGCCGCCGACGTCGAAGGCCGCTTCGAGCATCTCTTCGGAGGTCATCTCGCCCTTGGTCGGGGCGGCGGCCAGTTGCTTCTTCAGGTCGCGAACTTCCTTCAGCAACGTTTCAACCCGCTGGGGAATGGTGTTCGCCGGGGCCTTCAACAGCGTGGCAACCTGGTTGAGCACCGTTTCGTGCTCGTGCATGTCGGCCAAAGCCGCCGGGCCAGTCAGCGCGGTGATTCGCCGGGTGCCGGCCGAAACGCTCTCTTCGCTGACGATGCGGAACAGGCCCACTTCGCCGGTGCTGTCGAGATGCGTGCCGCCGCAGAGTTCTTTGCTGAAATCGCCCATGGCCACCATTCGCACTTCGTCGGGATACTTCTCGCCGAAGAGCATCATCGCCCCCGCCTCGCGGGCTTCGGCCAGCGGCAGCGTGGTCCACTCGATGGGGGCCGAGCGGGTGACGTACATGTTCACGTCGTCTTCGATCTGGGCCAGCTCTTCGCGGGTGACCGCCTGCGGGTTGGTGAAGTCGAACCGCAGCCAGTCGCGATCGACCTTCGAGCCCTGCTGTTGAGCATGCTCACCCAACCGGTTCTGCAGGGCCCGATGCAACAAGTGCGTGGCACTGTGAGCCCGACGGATGCCTTGCCGCCGCTCGGCATCGACCCGGGCGGTGACCATGGCGCCCAGTTCAAGCTTGCCTTCGGTCAGGTGCCCGAGGTGCAGATGGAAGTTGCCTTCCTTCCGGGTGTCGGTCACTTTGAAGCGGAAGCCCGGTCCGCTGAGTTCGCCAACGTCGCCCACCTGGCCACCGCTTTCGGCATAAAACGGGGTTTGAGCCAGCACCACGACCACCGGCGGTTCGTCCCCGTCTTTGAGGATCTCTTCACAAAGCTGATCTTGGGATATGAGCCCCACCACTTTGCACTCGGCCTCGGTGGTTTCGTAGCCGAGGAAATCGGTGCCGTGCATGGCCTTCTTCAAGGCATCCAACGGGCTGGATTGGAACAGTTCGTGTCGCTGCCCGCCGCCCGAATCGAGCCCGTGCTGCTCCATCTCGCGATGGAAGCCTTCCCAATCGAAGGTGAGATTGCTTTCGGCCGCCAGCGATTCGAACAGCTCGGGCGGGAAGCCATGCGTGGTGTACATGTCGGCCGCTTCAGCTCCGCTGACCATCACCCGGCCGTCGGCTTTCATGTCGCTGACAATGCGGTCGATCCGCTCCAACCCGGCGTCGATGGTGGAGAGGAAGTTGCTCTCCTCGCGGCGAATCACCTGGGCCACGCGATCGGTGGTTTGCTGCAATTCAGGGTAGGGGGTTTTCATTGCCTCGGCCACGGCACCGACCATGTTGTGCATGAACGGTTCGCGAACGCCCATCTGGTGCCCATCGAGCACGGCCCGACGGAGCAGCCGCTTGATGACGTACTTTTCCTTGTTGGGGCCGGGATAGACATTCTCGTGGATGGCGAAAACGCAGGCCCGCACGTGATCGGCGATGCGCCGCAGCCGGCGACCGTTCTCGGTGCTGGGGTCGTACTTCGTGCTGCACACGTCGGCGGCCGCCTCGACCAACGGGCGGAGGATATCGATGTGGAAGTTCGTATCCACACCCTGCAGCACCGAGGCCGTACGCTCGAGGCCCATCCCCGTGTCGATGTTCTTGCTGGGCAACGGGCGGAGATTGTCCGGCGGATCGCCCACGCGATTAAACTGCGTGAAGACGAGATTCCAGATTTCGACTTCTTCCTTGGGCGTGGCGTGATAGAAGATTTCGCTACAGGGGCCGCAGACCCCATCGGGCCCCTGGCTGGGGGCGTTGGCCGGCCAGAAGTTGTCGCCTTCGCCCAGCCGGCGAATGCGGGAGGTCGGCAGTTTGATGTCCTCGTTCCAAATGGCGTAGGCTTCGTCGTCGTCTTCGTACACGGTGACCGAAAGCTGGTCGGCATTGATGCCGAGCCACTTCTTATCCGTGAGAAACTCCCACGCCCAGGCGATGGCCTCGCGCTTGAAGTAATCGCCGAAGCTGAAGTTGCCCAGCATTTCGAAGAAGGTGTGGTGGTAGGCCGTGCGGCCCACGTTTTCGATATCGCCCGTGCGAAGGCACTTCTGACATGTGGTGGCGCGGGTGAAGTCGAGCTTGCACTTGCCGAGGAAGTGGTCCTTGAACTGGTTCATGCCCGCGGGGGTGAACAGCACCGAGGGGTCCCACTGCGGGACCAGCACGTCGCTGGGGCGGCGGATACAGCCTTTGGACTCGAAGAAAGCCAGGTATTTTTCGCGAAGTTCGTCGGTTTTCATCAGCATTTGTGCGGGGACAGCGGCAACAGGACGGATACGCCGCCCATCATACCGGCGGCCCGAGGATGCGACTAGCGGAGTGCGTTGTGGGAACGGGTGTTACGGTCTTTCGCGCACGCACCGTTCACGGGGATGGACACCGCAGACGAACGACAGGCTCACGCAATGTGTGCAGCTGAGTGGCCGAACGCCGGGTGCCAGCGGTGGGATCTCAACGAAAATGTAGGTCACACCGCAAGAATGGCCGACGAAATTGCAAGCGAACCGCCAGATGAACGTCGGTGAGATGGCAGCCTTGGTGGTGCCGGTCCTACGGCTTAGTCTTGCCAGGGCGTTCAACCGGTTGAAATCCCGATTTGATCGTGACCGTGTTGGGGCCATCGAACGATTCGGCAAAGCGGAGCCGCACGAGATCGGTCTCGTTCTTGACGAGCTTCTCGAATTCCGCGGGCGAGGAGACCTTCTGGTTGCCCACGTGGGTGATGAACATGCCCCGCCGCACACCGGCGTTCCAGGCGGGGCTATCTTCGTCCACCTCGAGCACCACCACCGCGTCGCCGGGGGGGATGGGGCGGAAGCGGGATTCTTGAATGGTGGCCGTCTTGTAATCGACCAGCAGACCACGCCACGGATCGCGTGGCTGGAAGACTTTTCGCCCCTGCACGGGGAATTTGGCCAAGCGGATGTTGAGCGGCGGGATCTGGTCGTTGTTGCGAACAACTCCCAGTGTGACGGTGGCATGCACCGGTTCTTTCCCCACGGCCAGCACCAGCGAGTCGGCATCGAAAACCGCTTCGCCGTCGACCGAAGTGATGATATCGCCTTCCATCAGGCCGAAGTCTCTGGCCGGGGTGCCGGCGTAGACGCGATTGACCCGCATGCCTTGTCGCACGATCCGCTGCTCTTGCTCCGAGAGATTGTCGGGCTCGATGCCCAGGAAGCCGTATTCAACCTCGCGGCCCTTCTTCAGCGTGTCGACCACGCGGCGGAACGTCTCATCGACCGGCATGGCATATCCGGCCGCTTTCTCGTACCCGGCGATGGCGGCCAGCGAGGTGGTAAGCCCAACCATTTGGCCCGTCTTGTCGATGAGGGCCCCACCGCTGGTTCCCAGGTTCAGTTTGGCATCGGTCTGGATGAGCGTGCCGTATTGGTGGAGTGTTGAGGAGACACTTCCATCACCTTCGGCCGCGTCACGAGGCGCTTTGCGATGCATGTTGGCCACGATGCCCCAACTGGCGCTGACCTGGCCATCGCGGGCGATCGCGTATGGGTTGCCCAGTGCAATGACGATTTGGCCCTTTCGCAGGTTGTCGGCATTGCCGAACTTGATGGGCCGCAGCCCGGAGGCTTCGATCTTCAAGATCGCCAAGTCGCTCCGCGGATCGGCAGCTAGCAGCGTGGCCTTGTAGGTTTGGCGATCGATCGTGGTGACGAAGTAGTCGTACTGCTCGCTGTTACCCAGGATGTGATAGGCCGTGAGGATCAGGCCCTGCGCGTCGACGATGACCCCGGTGCCGTATTCATTAGGAACGAAGCTGGGGTCCTTGGGGTTTGGATTGTCGCGCAGAAGCTGAGCGCCGAACGGATCGAACGGGGCCCGCGGCGTGGCGGCCACTTCGGTGGGCCGCACCCGGGCGATGCTCACCACCGACGGTTCCGCCCGGGCGATCGCATCGGAGACGACCTGTTCGACCGCATCCACAATGTCCAAAGCCGCCGGTGGCTGAGCCATCGCCGGCCCGGCAGCCAGTGCTAGCACTACGGCGAGGTAACTCACCACTAGCGCGGTCGATTGCCCCCGCAATTTGGAACCAGAAAGCTCCAAAGATGGACGCGCCGCTTCGTCGACCCAACTTTCGCGGTCGTGGCAGTTCTTCACACGGCTGCATTTACCCAGCATGGCTGTCACCTCATCGTAGGCGAGCGCCACTGGGTGCAACGACGCGCGTCCCTGTGCGGAGACACGCGTCGTTCAGCGGGGCTTTCGCCTAGCTTGTACCGTTTTCTTCGCCTTCCGAATCTTCGTTGGGTGTCACCAGGCCGTCTTCAATGAAGCCGCCGGCCTGCATCACCTTGTCTTTCAGTTCGGCTGTAATGTCGGGGTTCTCTTGCAAGAAGATACGGGTCTTCTCACGCCCCTGGCCGATGTGCTCTTTGCCGTAGCGGAACCAAGCCCCCGAGCGGGAGACGATCTTGTGCGCCAGGGCCAGGTCGAGCACGTCGCCTTCGTAGCTGATTCCGCCAGTGTGCATCATATCGAACTCGGCCACGCGGAATGGTGGGGCGACCTTGTTCTTTACCACTTTAGCCCGCACCCGCTGGCCGACCACGTCTTCGCCGTCTTTCAATTGGCCGATCCGACGCACATCGATACGGCATGAAGAATAGAACTTCAGGGCCCGCCCACCGGGGGTGGTCTCGGGGCTGCCGAACATCACGCCGATTTTCTCGCGAATCTGGTTGATGAAGATCACGGCCGTCTTGCTCTTGGCGATGGCCCCGGTGAGCTTCCGCATCGATTGGCTCATCAGCCGGGCTTGCAGGCCCACGTGCGAATCGCCGATTTCGCCCTCGAGTTCCTTCTTAGGCACCAGGGCGGCCACCGAGTCGACCACGATCACGTCGACTGCGTTCGAGCGAATGAGCATCTCAGTGATGTGCATCGCTTCTTCACCGTTGCCCGGCTGGCTGACCAGCAGGCTTTCCAGCTCGACGCCCAGTTTCTTGGCCCACGAGGGGTCCAGGGCGTGTTCGGCGTCGATGAACGCGGCGATGCCACCTTGCTTTTGGGCTTGGGCCACCACGTGTAAGGCCAGTGTGGTTTTACCGCTGGATTCGGGGCCGAACACCTCGATCACGCGACCGTGCGGAATGCCTTGCCCGCCCAGGGCCAGGTCGAGGGAGAGGCTTCCGGTGGGGATACCCTTGATCCGCCCGGTCTGCTCACTGCCCAGGGGCATGATGGCCCCTTCGCCAAACTGCTTCTCGATTTGAGCCAGTGTGGTCTTCAGGTTTTCGTTGGGCTGAAAGGCCGAGGCGGCCTCCTCAGCTTTGGCTGCACTCTTCTTGCGCCCAGCCTTCTCGTTGGTTTTCGAAGCTTGGTCTTTTTTGGCCATCCGGTGATTCGACTTTTCGGCTGTGGATACCATTGGGCACAATCCTTTATCTTGAAGAAGGTTACGTCACCGGAGTGAGCCAGGCAACGGGGCGAGATTGTCCGCCGGGCGCATACTGTACGCCTGAACATCATATCGGCGGGCCACTACTGCTTCAAGAGCCCTTTTTTCTGAAATCCAAGATCCTTCTACGGGGGTGGAGATAAATCGTTCGGCACTCAGGCCAATTCGGCGTGGCCCAGCATGGTGTACTCAGGACCCTCGCGATGCAGCTCGCTGGACATGATCGCCACTTCGTCCACAGGCAACCGTCCGGCGGCAAAGTCTTCTTCCTTGGCGATCAGCTCCGACAGTTCGGGGTCGATCTTCCGCACCCGGCCCAACGTCAGGTGTGGCTTGAACCGCCGGGCTTCGCCGCGGAACCCCAGGTCGGCCAGGGCCGCTTCGATCGCGTCGTGCAGCACCACCATCTCTTCTTCGCCCTTCTGGGCACCTAGCCAGATGGTGCGTGGTTTGGCTACGTTCGGGAAAGCCCCCACACCGGCCAACTCCAGGTCGAACCCATCGATGTCGGCCACCGCCGCACTCACGGCTTTGCAGATGTCGGGAATCAGTAGGGCCTCCACATCGCCGAGAAAGTTCAGCGTGAGATGCAGGTTGCCTGGGTCTACCCACTTCACCTTGGCGCCCGTACGACTGAGCCGCCCGATGAGCCGCGCGGCCTGATCGGCGATGCCCGGGGAGATTTCCACGGCGATGAATGTGCGATACGTCTGAGCCATGTTCAACTAGAAGCTGAGCATCTTGCGGTATTCTTCCATGCGGCGGTCGATATCTTCGCGGTCGATCTTCTTGAACCGTTCAAGGCTGAAGTCTTCCACGTTGAAGCTGGCCGCCAGGGTGCCGTAGGCCATGGCCTCTTTGAGAGTCTGCGGTTCGAAGTTCCCGCGTTCGGCCAGGTAGCCCATCATGCCGCCTGCGAAACTATCACCGGCACCCGTGGGGTCGACCACGTCGGCCGTGGGATAGGCGGGCATGACATAGGGTTCATGCTCACTGAAGAACATGGCTCCGTGCTCGCCCTTCTTAATGATGACGAACTTGGGGCCCATCTCCCGCACCTTATGACCGGCACGCACCAGGTTTTCATCGTCGGTCAGCAGCTTGGCTTCGCTGTCATTCAGCACCAGCCCGTCGATTCGCTTGAGCAACTGCATCAGTTCGTCGTGCTGCGTGCTAATCCACAGATCCATCGTGTCGGCCACCGTGAGCTGGGCACCCGGCATCTGGTCCAGCACCTTCATCTGCACCACCGGCGAACCGTTGGCCAGGAACAGGAACTGGCAGTTGTGGTAACTCTCAGGCAGCACGGGGTCGAACTTCTCGAAGACGTTCAAATGCACTTCGAGCGTCTCGCGGTCGTTCATGTTGGGCTCGTACTTGCCCCGCCAGCGAAACGTCTTCCCGTCGGGAATGACCTGAATGCCCGAGGTGTCGATCTTGCGGCTGTTCAGCAGGTCGGTGTGCTCGCTCGGCCAGTCGTTGCCCACCACGCCCACCAGGTGCACTTGGCTGAAGTAGCTGGCCGCATACGAGAAAAACACGGCCGAACCGCCCAGCAAGTCGTCGCGACTCTCGGTCGGCGTTTCCACACTGTCCAGCGCAATCGACCCCACAACCAACAACGGCATCGCAACCACCTTCCCGAAGAATGAGAACCAGAAATGAACCGCCCGCGATTATCCCGCATTAGAAGTGGATCGCAAGACGTGGGGGAGCATTAGAAAGAAGTATCCAGCGACGATCGTCTGAGGATTGGAGATCGTTAGATTACCTAGTTGCCGACAGCGTTTAGCTCACCCCCGCTTCTTCCCCCTCTGCGCCGTCACGATATACAGCTCGGGGCATTCCAGAAAACGTTGCTTGTTTTCTTCGTTGAGGAAGTACCAAGTATGGCCGCCGAACTCGGCGGTGGCGGTGGCCATGATCTTGGGGATGCGGGTTCTAGCGACCGGCTCGGTCACCAGGCTGTCGCGCTGGTACTGGTCGACGAACTCGAGTTGGAGATACGTCTTGGTGAACGTGACCAGCTTGTCCTCGATCCAGGCGGCCACGCGGTCTTCGTCCACGTGATCCCATGGCAGCGACAGTTGATCGCTGCGTTCGAAGTCCATGAAGATCGGGATGATTTCCAGGCCGTACTCGACTAGCAGGTTGCGAACCTCGTCGTCGTGCGTCACGCCGATCCGCAGCGTGGTGGTTGCCGGGAATCGCGACGTGTGGCGGAAGCGAATCGTGCAGTGGCAGCCTTCATGCCCGTTGTCTTCGACCAACTCAGCATTGTCGAAGTGGTTCAGCAACTGCTTCATCCGCGGTCGAATCACATCGCGGGCCAGCAGTTTGGTTTCCTGCTGCGCGAGATCGAGCCGCTTCTGCAGTTCGTCGGAATGCTTGATCTGCTGATCGCGAAGTTTGCACAGCCGCTGGTTGGCCGCAGCGAATTCAGCCTCGATTCGGGCCGCAAGATTCGACGGTTCACTCATCGTTTGTTTCCTGCCGAGAGGACAAGGGCTCAACTACTTGTAGGTAATTCTGCCGAGAAACGGTCGAGGTCAAATAGCAATCGATCCTGGGGCCGGAATTTCTCGAGGACAAATGGTCGCACCCGATCGGCACGCCGGCCTGAACTGAAACTCTTGACTTCCCCTTTGGGTAGGATTAGTACTGACTTTGACGAGGAACGGGCTGCTGGTCGTGCTTGTTTGGCCGATGAGCTGCCATCTTTTATCTATGCAACGCCGCCTTATCTATCGCCGCCTATTCGTAGGGCTGTGTGTCGTTGCGCATCTTTCGGCCACTACAGGGTTTGCCCTACCCGAGTTGAAGGCGGCCAACGCCTCCGACAAACCGTTTCCGTGTCAGCAACACCGGTGCGGATGTCATTCGGCCGATCAGTGTTGGCGATCGTGCTGCTGCATGACCCAGGAAGAAAAGCTCGCCTGGGCCCAGAACAACGGGGTGCAGCCCCCGCAATTCATGGTCGAAGCTGCGGCTCGCGAGAAGCTGGCGGCAGCTCAATCGCCTAAAGGCTGCTGTAGTCAGCAGAAAGTCGAACCCTCGGCCGGGAAGTGCTGTTCTTCTAGCAAGCAGACCAGTTGCTGTGATCAAAGTCATCAAACCGTTGATCAACTCGCAGTTGAGTCAAAAGCCCTATCCTCAATCGGCTGGGTCCTAGGCATTCATGCTTTGCAATGTCAGGGTTTAGCCACTCTGTGGGTTTCCACCGGTGCCGTAGTCGCACCACCTCCGATTGTCGAAGCCCCGCAGGACTGCACGCCACCGAAATGGTGCGACGGTTCGGCAGACTCGCAGTGGACGGCCATTTCCATGCGGCCGGATATTCCTCCTCCACGCTTCGCCTGATCATCGCCTCTTTTTGTGCGGTGATTCACTCGACATCTCGATCTGCAAGTTCGCGTCCGCCGTAGCTGCGTTGTGATTGCGCGGGAGTATTCCCCGTTGCGATCTCAATTGCGAGGTAATCCTGTGCGCCCGCGTCTACATCCCATGGCTCGTTCCTCGTCAGACCGTCCTGTGAGACGACGCGGGCGCCCTGGGTTACTTCGCCGAAGCACGATCGGACAGACCGGCTTGAGCTAGTTCCGTTTGAGCGAGTCGCTAGTGATCTAAACACAACCTTGATCAAACACCGCGGTTCGTGGTGGACAGTCGGCGTGCGCGCGTCGCTCCACCGCTTCAGTCTGAAGAATTCACGAGCCGCATTGATTACTGAACACATTCTTGGAGATAAAAACTGATGACATGCAATTGTTTGAAAGGGCTTGCCATCTTGGCCCTGCTTTCTGGTTTTCCGATGGGTACGGCCCACGCCGGCTTGATCACGGGAGGGCAAGCCACACTCGACATCGACATCTCGCTGATGACGACCCCCAACGGAAATCTCACCTTCGAGCGGTTCTACGGCGCCCCTGGCGATGAGGCCGCCACGTTGAGCCGCAACGATATGGTTAGTCCCTCGGGCTCCCCATTTCCCGGCTCTCCGACGACATCCGAAGATCTAGAACACCCGGTGAACGGCACGGTATCGAGTCCCAATCCTCCCGGCGGCGGAGTTCGTTATCGTCAGTCGACCACGCTCGACTACGATCCGAGCGATGTCCTGGGAAGCTGGGCTCCCTCCTCGTTTACCGGCTTCAACGTTTTGAACGACGGCGAACAGATCGGTCTCGACGGAGTAACCCGTACCGAGGTCGACCCCGGGCTTGGCGGCGGCGTTCTTATGTTTGGAGATTTGGGCCTTCGCTACGCACCCACCCGGGCAAGTGCCGGGAATGGATTGGTGTTCGTCGGCAACTTCGATTTCGAAAACTCACCGCTGTTCGACGTCGGCAACGCAACCATCACCGCCGATGGATCGACGTTGACCATCACCGGCGACCTGCTTTTGGCTGCCGAGTACACGTTATTCTTCGGCGGGGTCACCGGATCGGATGTCGGCGACTTCGAGTTGGTGGCCACGGTGCCCGAACCGTCGACGGTCATCCTGATGCTCATGGGTGTCGTCGTCGCCTGCGGCGGATGGCTTCGCAAAAGTCGTTAAATGGAGAGAGTTACATGAAATTCAAGTTCGACGTCGCGCAGTTCGGAAGAGGATCGGCACTCGGTCCGACTACGCGCCGTCGGCTTGTCTTTCATGGTGCAGACCGACGTGGCTTCACGCTGGTCGAACTGCTGGTCGTAATTTTCATTGTTGGATTGCTGGCCGCGATCCTTCTGCCGGCAACTCAGTCGGCCCGAGAGGCCGCCCGTCGGGCCCAATGCCAGAATCACCTTCGGCAAATCGGTATGGCCGTGAATCTGTTCGACGAATCGCTGGGCCATCTTCCCAGCGCCACGTATGGACCGCCGTATAACGAGGCCGGTTCTCGCGGCAGTTGCTTCACCAAGCTCTTGCCATACCTCGAACAGTTACCGCTCTCCAAACGATACGACTGGGGGCACAACTGGTACGAGGAAGTGAATCAGGAAGTAGTCAACACACCCATTGCAATCTTCCGTTGCCCTTCGGCGACTGAAGGCAAAGACATTCAGATCGGGCTGGGGAACTCACCTTCCATCGAAGACGAACCGCAGCACACCGCTGCCGTGACCGATTACACGGCGGTCTACAGTTGGGGCGCGTCTTTCGCGGTGCCCAATGATCCGTTTCTATACGACCCTTGGGCGGTTGGCGCGTTGTCACCCATTCCGGAAGAAGCCACCGGGGTGCTCACGGGTTCGAGTGTTTTCAGAACACCACGCAGAATCTATGTCACCGACGGATCGACCTACACCATGACCTTTGTCGAACGGGCCGCAACCACGCAGCGATGGATTAACGGACTGGTTGCCGAAGAGTCGCCTACCACGGCCAAAACCTGGGCCCCCTGGGCAGGGCAAGGTTGCGTGTGGCTGCTCTCTTACATCGATAGTGGCGAAACCTGGGCACCGACCGGCCTCGGGCCTTGCAACATCAACTGCAACAACCACCAGGGCATCTACGCATTCCACCCGGGCGGCGCGAACACGGTCTTCTTAGACGGAGCGGTGCATTTCCTGGCGAAAGGAATCGACCCCAAAGTCTTGTACGCGATGGTCTCTCGATCGCGAGGAGAGTTGATTGAGTACTTCGACTGAACAAGAACGCATCCATTGGCGAATCGCCCCGGCCAGCCATTCTGCGCTAGGAGTCTTCAGATGGCTCTCGACACTTGCGGTCGTCTTGCTGGCCGGCGGGTGTCGTGAGGTTGAGGAGCCAACAGGCCCGGTGCGATTCCCTGTGCTGGGGCAGCTACTCATCGATGGCCAACCCGCCGCCGGGGCCACGATCAAGTTCATCCCAGCAGACGGAAAGCTCCAAGCCCGTAGCGCGACAGCCCAAGTACGTGCCGACGGACACTTCGCTGCAAGTTACCTCTCCAACGAAGACGGCATCCCCGCCGGCACTTACGACCTGGTGGTTTACTGGCTGGATGTTCCACCCGAGGGAGGACTGCCCGTCGACCGCCTGCAAGGCCGTTTCTGCAATCCACAACAACCGGTGAGCACCATCACCGTGATCGAGAGCGAAAACCAACTGGAAGCAATCGAACTGTCTACCGAGGGACGCTAAGACAACCACGCAGGATTCGACAAAGCTACCCCCGGGCCGTGAACCGTTTTCGCGAAGCCCGAGTTTCTTGTTTCTCTAACTCAACTTGAGGAGGACGAGTATGCGTCAGAACCGAGTGCCTTCTGACAAGAGTATCGATCGTCGCGATTTCAATTGTCTCACAGCCGCAGCCATGGGCGGGCTACTCGCCGGCGTAAGCCAAGTGCCGGAAACCGCCTGGGCAGAAGACGAGAAGAAAGAAAAGGAAAAAGAGAAGCACGTCTGCCGCGGGCTTAACTCCTGCAAAGGACAAGGTGCCGATGTCGACCTCGACGGCGACGGCAAGGTCGACCCCAACGCATGTGCAGGCCAAGGTGCTTGTGCCACCGCCAAGCACATCACCTGCGGTGGCCAGAACGAATGCAAAGGCCAAGGTGGCTGCGGTGCGACTCCTGGCGAAAACGACTGCAAAGGCGAGGGCCATTGCCACGTGCCGTTGATGGACAACGCCTGGAAGAAGGCCCGAGCCCGTTTCGAAGCCCGCATGGAGAAGGCCGAAAAGAAATTCGGCGATCCACCGCCCAAGAAGAAGACGCCCCAAGGCAAGAAGAAGTAGTGATCCATGAATGCCCGGCCTGGCGCGCAAAGGTCGCGCCAGGCCGAGGCCTTCTTGAACCCCTCAAACTATCTCGGAACTGGTAGCTTCCATAGGAGTACAACATGAAAACGCGACGAGACTTTCTGGCCACCAGTATTGCCGGGGCCCTGTTTGCCTCGAGTGTGCAAGCGGCCGACAAACCGCAACCAGGCACCGAAGCCAACACCACCGAGTCGTTGCAGGCCAACTGGACCGGAGACGAGAAGATCGCGATTCTTCTCTACCCTGGCTTCACCGCATTGGATGTGTTCGGCCCGCACCATATGTTCATCCTCATGACGGGGGCCAGGGTCGAACTCGTCGCCCCCACGCGCGAACTCGTCACCGCAGATACCGGCATCCAAGTCATGCCCACCACCACGTTCGAAGAATGCCCAGAGGATCTCACCATTCTGTGCGTCCCGGGTGGAACTCTCGGCACCCTGCAGGCGGCGAAGGACGATAAGATTCGCAACTTTGTCGCCGACCGAGGATCGCGCGCCGAATGGGTCGCCAGCGTCTGCACCGGCTCGATCATTCTGGGAGCCGCCGGCTTACTAGATGGCTACAAAGCCACCGGACACTGGCTCGCCCGCGATGTGCTCGAGGTCTTCGGTGCCGAACCCGTCAACGAGCGCGTGGTGATCGACCGAAACCGCATCACCGGAGGCGGCGTAACCGCGGGCATCGACTTCGCCCTGCACCTGGTTCAAGAGTTGCGCGGAACCGCCTACGCTCAAGCGACACAACTCTTCGCCGAGTACGATCCACAACCGCCGCTCAACGCCGGCTCGCCCGAGAAAGCCCCCAAGGAAACCGTGAAGATGCTCGAAGCCATGCACAAACCCTTCGCCGAGCAAATTCGCAAACTGGCGGCCGAACTCCCCGCGCAGAAGTCTTAGTAGCCCGAAACCCACACGAAGGATCATCGTGCGAGGTCACCCGGGGAGCTTAGAGCTTGCTTACTTCTTCTTCCCACCGCCTTGTTCCTGCTTCTGCACCTTGGCCCAGGTGTCGCGCAGGGTGACGGTGCGGTTGAAGACGGGGGACTTGGGTTTCGAATCGACCGCGTCGACGCAGAAATAGCCGAGCCGTTCGAATTGGAAGCGATCGCCCGCGGTGGCCTCGCCCAGGCTGGGCTCGAGCTTGCAGCCGGAGAGCAACTCAAGTGAGTCGGGGTTCAGGTTCACCTTGAAGTCCTTCCCCTCGGGCACGTCGTCGGGGTTCGGCGTGCGGAACAGGTGATCGTACACCCGAACTTCGGCACTAACCGCATGCGGGGCCGAAACCCAATGGATAGTGCCCTTCACCTTGCGGCCATCGGGGGCCTGCCCGCCGCGGGTCTCGGGGTCGTACGTGCACCGCAGCTCGGTCACCTCGCCGGTCTTCTCGTCTTTCACCACATCGACGCACTTGATGAAGAACGCATACCGCAGCCGCACTTCGCGACCGGGGGCCAGGCGGAAGAACTTCTTGGGGGCGTCTTCCATGAAGTCGTCCTGCTCGATGTAGATCTCGCGTGAGAACGGAATCTTCCGGGTGCCGGCCGATTCGTCCTCGGGATTGTTCACCGCTTCCAGCTCTTCGACTTCGCCTTCAGGATAATTCTCGATCACCACCTTCAGCGGCTTGAGTACCGCCATCACACGGTTGGCCGTGCGGTTGAGATCGGTCCGCAGGCAGTTCTCCAGCACGGTGACGTCGATCGTGCTGTTGAACTTCGAAACGCCAATGTGACGGCAGAACTCGCGAATCGCTTCCGGCGTGTAGCCGCGGCGACGCAGCCCGCAAATGGTCGGCATCCGCGGGTCGTCCCATCCGCTCACATCTTTGTCGTTCACCAACTGCAGCAGCTTCCGCTTGCTCATCACCGTGTAGGTAAGGTTCAGTCGGGCGAACTCAATCTGCTGCGGGTGGTAGATGCCCAGCGTGTCGAGGTACCAGTCGTACAACGGGCGGTGGTTCTCGAACTCCAGCGTGCAGATCGAATGGGTGATCTTCTCGATGGAATCGGATTGCCCATGGGTGAAGTCGTACATCGGGTAGATGCACCACTTGTCGCCCGTGCGATGATGATGCGCATGCATGATGCGGTACATCACCGGATCGCGCAGGTTGAGGTTCTTCGAGGCCATGTCCACTTTCGCCCGCAGCGTCCGTGAGCCGTCGGGAAACTCACCGGCTTTCATTCGCTTGAACAGGTCGAGGTTCTCTTCGACCGTTCGATCGCGGAAGGGGCTGTTCGTGCCCGGCTCGGTGAGCGTGCCGCGGTACTCGCGCATTTGCTCACCGTTTAGATCGCAGACGAACGCCTTGCCGCCTTCGATCATCTGCACGGCCCAGTCGTAAAGCTGCTCGAAATAGTCCGAGGCGTAATACTCCCGGTCTTCCCAGTCGAACCCCAGCCAGCGGACATCTTCTTTGATGGCCTGCACGTAGTGGGCTTCTTCCTTCGTGGGGTTCGTGTCGTCGAACCGCAGGTTGCACTTGCCCCCTTCGTGCTGGGCCGCCAGCCCGAAGTTCAGGCAGATGCTCTTGGCGTGGCCAATGTGCAGCAGCCCGTTGGGCTCGGGCGGGAACCGCGTATGCACCCGCTTGTCGAAACGGCCCGTGCGGTTGTCTTCGGCGATGATTTCTTGGACGAAGTTCAGCGACCGGGTGGGTTCTGTCTTGGAATCTTCAGGTTCCGGCTTGTCGGGGCACATGATTGAGATCACCGCAGGTGGAAAAGATGAATCCGCCGGGCAAGGCGGGGTGGGGGCTCATTGAGTCGGCAAAAAACAGCCTCGCCCGCGGACAGGCGACACTCGTTCTATCGGAATCTTACCGCTGAGCGGCCAATTCTTACAGACGGGAAACGGCCCGATCGATGCGGTTGAGGGTCTCCTGCCGGCCCAAAATGGCCAGCGTGTCGAACATCCCGAACCCAACCGCCTGCCCCGTGGTGGCCACTCGCAGGGCATGAATGACGTTCCCGATCTTGATGTTCTGGGCCTCGACGAACGCGTGCAGCTGCTTCTCCAGGCTTTCGGTATCGAACGGCTCGAGCGATGCTAGCTGTTCACGCAACTCGCCCAACAGCCGCGGGGCGTCGTCCGGCTTGCGAATCCGCTTCTCGAAGGCCGCCTCGTCGTACTCCAACTCCTCCGCGCTTTTGAAGAAGGTTCCATAGTCGACGATGTCGCCGGCCACCTGGATGCGATCGCCGGAAGCCGTGACGATACGGCCAACCTTCTCCCGTCCCGCATCGTCGCCGTCCTGCACGAAGCCAGCCCCCTTGGCATACGGCCAGACGGCTTCGACCTTTTGTTCTTCCGACAGGCGATCGAAGTACCGCTGCTGAAAAGCCGTAAGCTTCACCGGGTCGAACGACGCTGGCGACTTGTTCACGCGTTCGAGCGAGAAGTCGCGGATCATCTCTTCACGGCTGAACTCCTCGGTGTGGTCATCCAGCGACCAGCCCAACAGCAGCAGGTAGTTGACGATGGCCTCCGGTAGAAAGCCAACCTGTTCGTAGAAGTCGATCACCACCGGGTTGAAGAGTTCCTCCGGCATGTCGAGCCCGATGGCATCGGCGATGTGCTTACCGTGCTCCATCAGGGCGGCGAAATCTTTGTTCTTCAGATACTTGCTCAGCTTCCGCTTGCTGAGTTTCGTCTTGCTACCCGGCTCGGCCACGTACGGCAGGTGAGCGTATTGCGGTAGTTCGTAACCCAACCCCTGGGCAATGAAGATCTGCCGCGGCGTGTTCGAAAGATGTTCTTCCGCCCGCACGACGTGGGTGATTTCAAACGCGTGATCGTCGACCACACTGGCCAGGTGATACAGACACGAACCGTCGGTGCGTTGGATCACATGATCCTGCTCCGAGGCCCAGGCGAACTCGACCCGACCGCGGACGAGATCGTCGATCACCAGTGTCCCTTCACGAGGAATCTTCAGCCGCACGACGGCCTCCCGCCCTTCGGCTTCGAAGCGGGCCTTGTCCTCGGGCGTCTCGGCCATCCACTTGCGGCTGTAGATGAACGATTCCTTGCGGGCTTGGGCCGCCTCGCGTTCGGCCGCGATCTCCTCAGTGCGAGCGAAGTCGTAATACGCGTGCCCGTCGGCCAGCAGCTTGTCGACGGCCGCCTGATAGTGGTCTTGCCGCTGCGATTGGTAATAAGGTCCCAGCGGTCCGTCCACTTCGGGGCCTTCGTCCCAATCGATGCCCAGCCACTTGAGCCCATGCAGGATGGGGCCGAGCGCCTCATCGACGTTCCGCTGCTTGTCGGTGTCATCAATTCGCAGCACGAACTGACCGCCATGATGCCGGGCGAAAAGCCAGCAAAACAACGCGGTGCGCACACCACCAATGTGCAAATAGCCCGTGGGACTGGGGGCAAAGCGAGTACGGACCTTCAACGAGAACTCCCCATAGCAAGCGAGAAAGAGCGACGCGAGCACCACCGCAGGAACAAGACCCCGCGGTAGCCGTCCGCCAAGCGTAGTGATTCGCAGGGCGGATCGTCAAATGGCCCGGAATGGAGGCTTGGGTTCGTTCGAATTAGGTGGCTGGCAATAAAGAAGCGGTTTCCAGAACCAACTCGTACGTGGGTGCCACTGCTGGCTCGTCCAGCAGTGCCTGTCGCGGACGATTCACCGCTGGACATGCCAGCGGTGGCACTCGCGGACGGAACTCACCGGCAGTTCGTCGAGTCTGCGAATCCTACTCGTCGAACTCCGCCTGTCGCTGCTGACGCCGTTGGCGGCGGAGGGCCTTTCGTTCGGCTCGGGTCAGCTTCCGCCCGGGCTGCTCCTCGTCCGAATCCTCATCGGGCTCTGGTTCAGCCTCGACTACGGCCTTGGCGGCCTGAGCTTCCTGACGGCGTGACCGTTTGTCCTTGCGATGGTCGCCCTCGGGCTCGGGTGGGGTCGGGTGCGACTTGTGGACTTCGCCCCGAGCCTTCTTCTTACGGGCCGGAGCCTCGTCGGAATCTTCGTCTTCGGCCTTCACCTTCTTGCGGCGTTTTCGACGCTCGGGCAGCAGCCCCTGGGCGTCGAGAATCATATATCGGGCCGACACCAGCATGCAGAACAACAGCAGGAGGTGGCCCGCCATTTCGGCCCCCTCTTCAATCATGATTGCTTTGGCCAGAGCTTCGGGGAAGATCAGCCCCAACTGGGCCACCACACCCACCGCATAACAAGCGCCGGCCAGCAACAGGGTCACGATCGGCATCTTCGCCGGACGCATATCCAGCAGCAGGCGAATGCCCACCACGCTGAGCACCAGGAAGTAAGGACCGGCCCACCACAGCGAGCCGTCGCCCCAGATGCGTTGCCCGGTGACGAGCGTCATCAGTTCTTTGAAGCCCTCGTGCAGGCTGGCGCCTTCATCGATGCTCATCACCAACCAGGTGAGCGAGGCCCACAGCCAGATACGATAGCGGCCGTGATAGTCGTCGGCGCGCTGCTTGCGAACCCAATAAACCATCAGGCCGACGAGCGATGCCATGCCGAGCGTGGCGGAAGAGAACCACGTGCCGAGGCTGCCCTCGTCGTCGAGGTCCAACGTGGCCACCGCCCCATCGGTCGTCTTGGGGGCGATTTGCGGCATGTAGTAATAGCCGGCTTCCAACGCGGCAATCACCGCTACCCCGCCCAAGAACAGCAGTGTGAGCGTGAGATAGCTTGTCGGAATGATGTCGATCAACCGCTTCTGGGTGATCGGCGTGGGGTCGGTTCCTTCCATTTCCCTGCCTGAGGTTGTAGCCCGACGGCGCGCGGTAGTCGTCTTTGTCCGAGACGATGTGGGCGCGGACTCGAGCGTATCTTCGATTAGCACGCGGCGTCGACGGCCGTCGCGCTGATCACCGGGTCGATACTCCATGGAGCAGCACGTCAAAGAATAGAGTGGGACGAGAATTCGCCCAAGGTAAGATTCTTGGGCTCGCGATGATCGCTTCCTTGCGACCTCGCCCATGAGCCCTGCATGATCATTGTTCGGACACTCCCGGGGGCCAACTCCAATCGGCCCGCTGCGTCGTGGGCGATCTTAGGGCGACTGGGAAAACTTGACGTTCGGCCTCGCGGTGCGAGCCGCACATTCGTCAAACCCGAAGTGCAGAAGTGCGAGAATCTCGCCAGCATTGCCAGCGATGCTGGCGGCGCGGGGCGTCAATTGAGCAACCCAGATTGACGCTGTTCGCTGGCACCGATACCCTTCCCGACTCTATCCGGTGGCAAGAGGCAACCCGAGAAAGAAACAGACCAGCCAAGGATGGCCATGCGTCGTCACGTCTATGCAATCGCCACACTGTTGGTGTTGGCTCTCGTCGTGCAAAGCCTCGTCGCGTCGCGCGCGGTTGTGCCTGCGCAAGACTCGGTGCGGTTCGTCACGCTGGCCCAGCAGATCGAAACCGAAGGTCTGCCCTCGGTCTGGCACGACTCAGACGAAGCCGCCTTTGCCACACTGGTGGCCGGCGTGCACCGCCTGAGACGCATCACTTCATCAAGTTCTCAAGAAACCAACTGGGCCCTCTCCGCTCAGATTGCCGCGGCCCTTCCCGCTGTATTGGTCGTAGTGCCCGCGTATGTACTGCTAACCACCTGGCTCGGCGCCCGCGTGGGACTGCTGGGCACAATCATCTTCTGCCTCTGCCCTTCGGTGGCCCGCCTGGGTGCCGACGGATTGGCTGACAGCACTCACCTACTACTGGCCGTAGGAAGTTTCTCGCTGGCGACTGTATTCATCCGCCGGCTGACGAAGTTCAAAATAGACCCGCAGCCGGGTTGGGTGGTGAACGCCGCACTGATGTCGATTTGTGGACCTTTGTGGGCCGGAGCTGTGATGGTACGGCCCGAGGCATTAGTGGTGGCTCCCGCGATTGCTGCCGCCGTAGGGCTGGCCGTGTGGCAGCTCGGTTCCCGAGAATTACTTCTCAAGGCAATCGTCTCGCTGGGATGTTTCGCAATTGCGGCCGTCGGGCTGTTTGTACTGAGGGCCTCGGTGACAGGGAGCGAATCTGCCCCGTTGGCGTCGGTGGCTCGCATGTTCAGCAGCGCTCAAGCCCCCCGGCCCGATGCATTGGACGACGATGTGGCCGCACACTGGCAATTGGCCGACGGCGAACCGATGGCCTTCTCCTACAAAGAACACACCACTAGCAGCCGCTTCTCTGGATTACTCCCCGCCTGCGGAGAACTGTTCCAAGAGATCCCCGAAGCTTTCGGTTGGGTCGTGCTACCACTGGCCGTGGCCGGCGTTTGCTGGCACGGTCGTCGCTGGAGTGAACCCGTCGAGTTCTTGCAGTGGGCAGTGATCGCCCTGGTGGTCATCGCGTCGACCGTTTACGGCGCCTCGGCCGGGTATCTGTCTTCGCGACATTTGATGCTGGCCACCGTGCCCATCGCCGGATGGTCAGGCTGGGCGTGTCGCTTTGGTGGTCGTTCGCTGAGAAACCGCCTGCTGAGTACCTGGACCGTCGATGAGACGCACTGGTCAACAATTCCGCGGCTGGCGATTCGCCCCACGGTTGCCGCAGTGGTTGTGCTGATGATCATCGCGACAACGATCGACGTACCCCTGCATGAAAGCCGCATCGCGCATCGCCGTGCGGCCAACTGGCTGCAGAGCAACGCAAACACGCAAGGCGCGATTCTCGACACCCGTGGTTGGACAAAACTCTACACGGGACGGACGACTTACCGTTACGACGAAGCTCCCACGGCGTTGGTCGACCCCGAGTTGGCCTACGTGGTGGTTGAGCAACGCGATCTCGACTTCGACAGCCCCCGCGCTCGCACGTTGCGAGAAGTGTTGCGGCGGGGTGGAAGTCGGCAGGCCGTGATCCCGGGACCCGACGGGCAACCGAGCAAGTGTGTGTTGGTTTACGCGTGGGACGCCGAGCGGTTCTCCCGCACGGTGGCCGAGGTGTTGGCGAATTGATGGGCTCTCCTAAGACTTCCACAAAGGCACGCAGCGATGCGAGATAATGTTCGATCGTTTGTCGAGATCGCAGCCGAGGTGTTTCAACTCCGCGGCCCGGTGTACGAGTTCGGCTCGTTCCTCGTCGAGGGCTCCGGGGCCGATGCCAACCTGCGAACGGCCTTCCCCGGACGAAAGTTCATCGGCTGCGATATGCGGCCCGGGCCGGGGGTCGACCGAATCGAAGACCTGAGCTGCCTGCAACTGCCCGACGATACGGCTCAAACCATCGTCTGCGTCGATACGCTCGAGCATGTGTTCAACGCACAACAAGCGGTGAGCGAAATGCTACGCGTGCTGGCCCCCGGTGGGGTGTTGGTGGTGGCCGTCCCGATGCACTTCCGCGTGCACGACTATCCGGCCGATTACTGGCGGTTCACGCCGGCCTGCATCGATCGCTTGCTCTCACCCCTGGCCGGCACCGTGGTCGTTTGGCAGGGGCTGGAGAACTATCCCCACACCGTGATGGGCGTGGGCTGCAAGGCACCCGTTACCGGCGAGTTCGCCCGCGGCGCGAATCAACTCATCGATCGCTTCCAAGAAGAACTGCGTCGCTGCGAGGCAGACCGACCGTTGGCGGAGAAGCTGAAGGACATGACCCTCGGCTGGATCCGCGGCAAAGGCGAACGGCGGCGAAAGCGAGAGTATCACAAGGCCCGCTTCATGTTGGATGTACCCGTGCATCGCGACTCGCTGGCCCCCTTCACCAAACTGGCCGGCGGTGGCTCGCAACTAGGGTCGAGAATCAACCTCAGCTAGCCACTGCTTCAGGGGCATCGATTGAACACGCATCGTACAGAACGAGATTACACCTGATGCCACACACCCCTGCTACTTTGCCACGCATGCTCGTTGTTGGTCTCGACGGAGGTACCTACGACGTTTTGATGCCGCTGGCCGAAGCGGGCGTGATGCCGAACCTGGCACGATTCATGCAAACGGCCGCGCTGGCCGAGTTGCAATCGACCGAGCCGGCCATTACCCCGGCCGCCTGGACGACGTTTCAAACCGGGTGCGACCCGTTGCAGCATGGCGTGGTCGACTTTCGCTATCTCGATCACACCACCGGAGAAGTGCTTTACAACGCGGCCCCGCATGTCGAACAGCCGACGTTGTTCGACCACGTCGCGGCCTCCGGAGCGGCCAGCGTCTCGATCAACCTGCCGATGACTTCGGCCGACTGCGCCTCGCCGGGCAGCATCATCGTCGGCGGGCTCGATCTGCCTTCGGCCGCGGTGGCGATGCGGCCCTATCCGAAGCTGGCCCAGCGACTTCGCGAGAAAGACGTCGACTACAACCTGCGGGTCATCTGGAAGCACCGGCCCGAAAGCTACGAAGCCTTGTCCACCGGTGTGGCCGACACGATCGATGCGTTTCGCAGTCGTACCGAAGCGGCCCTGGCGGCCGACTCGATGGTTGATTGGCGACTGATGGTCGTGCAGTTCCAGAACCTCGACTCTTTGCAACACCGCTGTTGGCACTTGTTGGGATTGGACCAGTCCGGCGGTGGATCGCCCGAGTGGGTGGCCAAAACCCGCGAGGCATTCGCCGGGTTGGATCGCTGCCTGGGCGAGTTGTTCGAACTGGCCGACCGTCACGGGGCCGGCGTCACCGTGCTCAGCGATCATGGCTTCGGTGAGTTCCGCGAAAAGATTTGCGTCTCGGAACTTCTCCGACGCAACGGCTTCTTGCAACAAGGATTGTCGAGTCGCGCCAGGTACTCAGCGGCACAAGCGGTTTGGAGATTTAAGAAGTGGGTGCATAAACGTCTCAAGCCCGGCTTCAACACCGCGCGACTTGTGCGACATCCCGAGATGCTGCTGCCCATCGATTGGCGACGCAGTGCGGCCACCTGTCTGCACGGCAACTTGGCCGGCCTGGTGTACTTGAACACGCCCGAGCGGTTCGGCCGCGGAGGACTCACCGGCCAGTCGCAGCGCGAGCGGGTCAGTGCCGAGATCGCCGAGATGTTCCTCGATGTCACGCATCCCGACACCGGAGAATCGCTCTTCGCCGACGCGTACTGCACGGTCGACCGCATCGACCGCGACCCGATCGAAGCGATGTTGCCCGAGGTGATCGCCATCCCCAGCCCAGGGTTTCACACCCGACAGAAGTTCGACCAGACGGGTCGCATCATGCGTGGCGACCCTTCGCTCACAGGCACACATCGCGCCGAGGGTGTGTTGATGCTCGGCGTTCCGGGGGCTACGCTGGGGGAAAGACATCAGGCATCGTTGCGCGACGTAGCTCCTACGATTCTGCACCTGCTGGGGCTTCCCGCGGGCCCTGAGATGCAGGGAACGATTCTCGACGGCATGTTCGCCGACAGCGGGTATGGCGTTGGGACTGGTACCGAGCGGGTCAGTGGGCCCGTCATCCGAAGGCAAGCACCGATGGTGGGTTCATCCACGCCGTCGGAGCTGATCACAAGGCGGCTGCGAGAGTTGGGTTATCTCGAATAGTCGAGGTACTCTGGCCCATCTTCGATTGTCCGTCGTCGCGAAACGTGGCGGACGTGTGCCATCGTTCTGTTTCTTGCCGGGCCGAATGCTCGCGTCATCATCCGCACGACTCTTACGGTCGTGCCAGGCGGACCGCAGTTCGGGCCGTGAATCACGGAATTTTCACCCCCTGTGGAAATTCATTCTCACCGATCGTGGCCTCTCATTCGAGCTAGGTGTCGTCGTCGCAAGTAGTTTGACCGGCACGAACTTGTGGCCTAGCGTTTCACATCGAATTAACTATCGAAGGCGGCTGCCAGGGTACGCGCCGCCCTCATCCATACGCACTCGTACGTCGAGCCGGGGCCAAGGTTTGGCGCAGAAATGGAATCGCCTTTCGTGGAAGTGCACGACACCTCATTAACCGATTCCGGACAATTCAATGTTCCGGTCCCGAACAGCGGTAAGCACGAAGTTCAAATCCGCGCCGAACAGTTGACCGAGATGGTTCAGACGCTGGTCGGTTCGCTCTCGGCAGAAGATCATCAGCACGTGGGCGATTCCGAGGCGAACCTCTTGGTTCAAGCCCGCTTGGGCATGGCCAGCAGTTTGTTCAACGCCTTGCGTTGCAAACATGACGAAACGGCGGCCCACTGTTTTCGCGTGGCGGTCACCTGTTCGCACTGGGCCGAACAGATGGGACTCAGCGAGCAGGAACGGGCCTCGCTCGAGATCGCCTCGCTATTGCACGATATCGGGAAGATCGGGGTCGCCGACAACGTGCTGCTGAAGCCGGGCGAACTCACAGCCGACGAAGTGCTGGTGATGGATCGCCACTGGGAAGCGGGGCTCGATATCCTACGGGCAAGCTGTTCGTCCGAGCCGGTGCTCGAGATCGTGCGGCACGCCTCGAGCTGGTACGACGGAACTCGCAAAGTCGATGATCGCCAGGGCGAAGACATTCCGCTGGGGGCGCGGATGTTGGCCATCGCCGATGCCTTCGACGCGATGACTTCCGATCAACTCTACCGACGTGGCGCCTCGCGCGAGCAGGGTTTGTCTGAACTGTTTCGTTTTGCCGGTAAGCAGTTCGACCCGAAGTTGGTGCAGCACTTCGCCGACTTGAACGACTCGCAACCGTTTGGTCGCTTTTTCACAGCGGCCCGCACGTGGCTGAAGTCGCTCGATGTGAAGTCGCATCTCGCGCACTGGAAATTCCACGAACATCCTACAGCAGCGCCCAATAAGGGGCTGGTGCTGCCGTTCGAAACAACCCTGCTACAAGAGATGCACGACGCGGTGATCTTCATCGATCACAATCTTCGCGTGGTGCACTGGAACCCGGGGGCTGAACGGTTGACCGGGATCGCTCCCATCAATATTCAGCAAAGGGCTTGGGTGCCGACGCTGCTCGACTTGCAGGACGACAAGGGTTGCAGGATGCGGGCCGACTCGTGTCCCATCACCCTTGCGGTGCGGGGAGGTGAACGACAGACCGCTCAGGCCAAACTCCGCGGGCGGAACAACCGTGAACTCGCGGTAAAGCTCGATGCGATGCCGGTCCGTTCGGCCGAAGGCGCCAGCCTGGGGGCGGCAGTGCTCGTGCAGGATATCTCGAGTGAAGTGTCGCTCGCCGTGCAGTGCCAGCGGCTGCACGAGCAAGCGATTAACGACCCTCTGACGCAGACCGCGAATCGGGCAGAGTTCCAACGCGTACACGAGCTGTTCGTCGCCGCCCACCAGCAGCGACACATGCCGTGTAGCTTGATCATCTGCGACATCGACAAGTTCAAAGAAGTCAACGATACCTACGGACATCCGGCCGGCGATGAAGTGATTAAGAGCCTGGCGCGTTTGCTCAAGAGCGAAGCAAACCCGGGTGACCTTGTTGCCCGTTACGGCGGCGAAGAGTTCGTGATGCTCTGTGCTGACTGTTCGAACTCTGCGGTGGCCCAACGGGCCGAAGAGATGCGACAGCAATTCGCAGAGACATCACAACCAGCCATGAACGGCGTGAAGGTTACCGCCAGTTTTGGCGTGACTGAAATCCAGCCGGGTGATACGCCCAGCACCATGCTCAGCCGGGCCGATCGGGCTTTGTACGAAGCGAAGCGGCGGGGACGAAACGCCGTCGTGCAGCTTGGTTCGGGCTTGTCCTGTGAGATTCGCGAAGGCGATGAGGGCGAGAGCAACGGGCCAGGTGACAGGGAAAATCTCGTGTCGCAAACCATGCAGTCGTTTGCACCACGCTCGTTCATTATCGAGAAGCTACGCGGTTTCAGCAGCGACCATAACGCCACGGTGGTGAAGTGGGACCACGAGCACATCCAATTGCAGGTGGGCTCGCAACTCATTTCGATGCTGCGGCGAAAGTCGGACCGCCAGGTGCCCTGCATTCTGGATATCAAACTGCAGGAGTATTCCGAGGGCGCCGCGCAGGTCAAGCATACAAAGATTGAAGTTGCGATTCGCGTTTGCAACGGACGCGATCGCCGCCGAGAAGAGGCGCTGAAGCGGGCCCGACAACTGCTGGCAAGCTTGAAGGCCTACCTGATGATTTCATCGTCGGCACCTGTCGATCAATCGTCGTTCGATAGCGATGCGTGAACGACCTGAACGAACGCACTCGGTGGCACGTTGCCACGCCGTGCGTTCAAGGAAGAGCAGCCATGTCGCGGATCGGGGCTACACTCTCTGGTTTTGAGCGGACATTGCTCAATCGCCTCGCCGAGGCTGACGCCGCGGTGACGATCAACAATTTGCGATTGGCCACGGGCCGAAAGATCAATCGCCCGGCCGATGCCCCTTCGCGATTCATCGAAGTCAACCGCCTCGAATCACGACTGTCCGGGGTTGGTACGGCACTCACGAATGTGACCAGTGCCTCGGGTGTGGTCAGTACCGCGCAGCTCGCGCTCGATGGCATTCGCGCCCAGCTGGATTTGATTAGTACGAAGGCCCTGGAAGACGAAGATCAATCGCTCACGCCCACCGAACGGGCAGAGAACCAGGCGGCGATCGATGCGGCGATTGTTGAAATCAATCGACTGGCAGGCAGTACCTACGGCGCAAGCCGGCCGCTGCTGGATGGATCTTCGAACTACCAAATCACCGGCCAAAACGCCGCGCAGGTATTCAGTCTGAGCGTTTCTTCACTGGGGGCCGGAGCCACCGAAACGATCGATATCGAAGTAACCACCGCCGGGACGCAAGCCGAACTGACTTACACCGGCGCCAGCGGACAGATTACCGACGATGCCGAAATTACACTAACGGGCAACCGCGGCAGTGCGGCGATCACGGTCACCAATGGTGAGGACCTGACGGACGTGCGAGACCGCATCAATCTGGAAAGTCACGTCACCGGCCTCACGGCCGAAGTCTCGGGCGACACGCTCACCCTGAACAGCGTGACGTACGGCACTGATGCCACCGCCACGGTGGATGTCACTTCAGGTACGTTCGTCACCACGGGGGCCGACCCAGACGGAACCGCGCGAGGCACCGACGCCGAAGCCACGATCAACGGGCAGGACCTGACCGGCGTGGGCAACACCTTCACGGTGAGTGACAACTCCTTCGTGTTCAAGCTCGAAGTGGCAGCCGCATTCACGGGCACTGCCGACACCGTCACTGTGAGTTCGGGCGGCAGTTTGTCGTTCGCCCTCAGCGAAGACCCCTCGGTTCGATCGATTCTGGCGATCGAAGGTGTTCAGGCTCATCGACTCGGCGGGCTTTCGGGTACGCTCGATCAGTTGGCCACCGGCGGGGCATTCGCCGGGCTGGATACGAATGCCTCGGTCGCGATTCGAATTGTCGATGAAGCGCTGGCCGACATCGCACGCGTCGAAGGGCGCGTCGACGGGTTTGCCAACGCTACGATCGCTTCGTCCTCTTCGTTGCTGTCGGATCTTGAAGATTCGATTCAAGACACGATCGATGGCCTCGATCAGGTGAATGAAGAAGAGGAACTTCTGTTGTTGGAAAAGAATCAGGCTCTGTATACCAACGCCTCGACCGGCTTGGTGGTTCTGCACGAGCAGCGGCAGTTGATCGTCGACCTGGTTCGCCAAATTGCCGGACTCATCTAGCAGGCAATCTTGCCATACTGAAGACCTTTGATTGCAATTTCTTACGCGTCCGGCCGGCATTTCGGGCAATTGTCAGTGTGTATGGCATCGGGTATCCTGCCGTTGATGCGAGACATTATTCCGAGTTCTGCCCCGGGCGGGGTTCACTCGGTCAACGTTCCAACAGGCTAAAGAGGTGCAAACATGGCTTATTCTGTTCCCGATCTTCCGTACGAAACGAATGCCCTGGAACCGCACATCGATACGCGGACCATGGAAATCCATCATGGCAAGCATCATGCGGCTTACGTCAGCAAGCTGAACGACGCGATCGAAGGAACCGATCTGGGCAGCAAGAGCATCGAAGACCTGGTGGCCGACCTGGACTCGGTCCCGGAGAACATCCGCACCGCAGTGCGCAACAATGGTGGCGGGCACGCCAACCACTCGTTGTTCTGGACCGTGATGGGTCCCGGTGGCGGTGGCGAGCCCAAGGGCAAGCTGGCCGAGGCCATCAAGTCGGAACTCGGCGGCTACGATAGCTTCAAAGAGAAGCTGAGCAACGCCGGCGCCACCCGTTTCGGAAGTGGTTGGGCCTGGCTTTCCGTCGATGGTAACAAGAAGCTCGTCGTCGAGAGCACCCCGAACCAAGACAGCCCACTGACGCACGGCAACACGCCGATCCTCGGAGTCGACGTTTGGGAGCATGCTTACTACTTGCTCTACCAAAACCGTCGCCCCGACTACCTGGCCGCCTTCTTCAACGTAATCAACTGGGATGAAGTCTCCCGTCGCTACGAAGAAGCAATTGCCTAAGCAGTATGCGATATCAACCACGGCGAGTGATCGAAATGAGCTTCGGTCGCTCGCCGTTTTTTTATTCGCTGCGAGGCAAATTCCCGTTCCCTATAGGACGCAAATCGAAGGGATGTGCTGAAAGTGCTGTTTTCT